GAGCGTGCGGACGTTTTAGCATTTCAGCTGCCTCCCTTGTAGTGACTGAAACACGTTCTGCCAATCTTAGCGCTGGAACACCAGACTTAACTTTTCTGGTGGCATTTATGTGTTTGTACAACAGCTTGGGATTTCATATAAACTTGCGCATGAGCATTTCTTGGTGTATTAACTTATCTTCTCAAGCCAACCTGGTGCAGTCATTTCGGAGCTGACAGTAAGTATATCATGTGTTGTTGCAAGGAGATCGTTTATAAGCTCTCCATGAGATATTCCTCTGTGAAATCCACTTTTTTGCCCGACTTCGAATCGCTGATATTTGACCAGTTGAGTAGGTGATGTGTTTAGTCTTCGTCGCGTGTTTCACCATTTCCGTCAGGTGGTTTGTAAATTATTCCCAGGATACCAGGGGATCACACTGTTCGTTGGGAAATATTCATTAGAAATCTCTGACCAAAGTTTTAAGTTTTAAGTTCAATGAAGGTTTTGACTGAATCTATCAAAGACCCGTATCCGATTCCACGCGTCATGTGCTTGACACGTGGAAACACGAAAAAGTCCTGCGCGGCCAGTTATCGACTGTAGGGTAGGTGACCAACCACCTTGATGCGTTCAATAGCCAGAAAATCGCCGACGAAATGAGAACTGTGTACAGGTGCGTTCTCAAGGTTCTGCAAGATCCCTCGAGCTCAAGGTCTTGAATAACGCCTGGCAGCGGATTCCAACAGATTCAACAGACAATGGGTGGTGTTGCAGTCTCCGGTGACTGTGCTTTGCTGTAAGACCGGTGCAGTAGCCACATGACCGTTTTCGGTCATTAACACAGCCAACACCTGGTTTGCCACACTGCGATCGTGCCAGAATTTCCTAGCCGCCGTCCACTAAGCCGATTATTCTATGATCGCTGAATCGAAACCGTATACCCAGGTCTCGTCATCACTGACGACATCCAAAACTGCTTTGAAACATGCACTATCAAACCTGGTAAGTGTGTAGCGGCACCAAATGACCCCACACAGCTTTCTGTTCTTCCCTGAGCCGATGGAGTACCCAGTGTGCAGAAACCTGTCTGAGACTGAGCTTCTCATAAGGGTTAGTGCGGATTGATCCCGATGGGATTTCGATGGCTTTTGTCAGCTGTTCTATTGTCACCCATGCATCCTCTTTAACCATCGCTTGCAATGCAGCAATACTGTCCGCTGTGATGGCCTTCACAGTTCGACCATACTGTCTCATCATCCCGGGGCCGCCTGATACCCTTACACGCCGCAAACCACTCAAACACAGAGCTTCTGGATGGCGCATCACTACTAGAGGCAGCTCGAAAACGGCCAAAGCTCTGCTGCTGCTGCTGCTGCTACTGCTTTGTAGTCGCAAGAAATCACCCTCCAGTGACATCGACTGAGTTCCATCATTATAGTTCGAATATAGCAACCTTATAACCTGTAAGCTGTGCTTGGCTGTTGACATTTGGTTCTGTCATTTGCAATCACTGACCAATATTCACAATAGATTACAGTTCACGTTTTCCTTGCCCGTTCATCTGCACCTTGTACGTGTACTTCGTATCCCCAAATCTTTTGCTCAATCCTTGTAGAAACCACAGTCTATTGCAAGCTGACCACGGCAAATAGCATCCTCAATTACAATAACAACCGTTTGTGATGTATGAAACTAACCTCGATAGAGTTATTGTACACTTTAGATGCATTGAATTAAGCAAGTGCAAGCAATTTGAATAAATTACATGCGTCGTTTCATTCGGAGTTGTTTTATTATTGGAAATCTGGACTGCGTGAATTTACGAACTATATTTCGAACTCTGTTCACAATATTACACCTTCCCTTGTGCCACTTGAACGTTTGTGTGTGAACTCTCTTTTACCGAGCGAACACACATTACAGCATACCGGAGCTAAGGGCAAGAGAAAGAAGTTGACTTCTTCAATCATTGTTATCTAACGCCTGTCTCAGAAGCTTTATCAATGCGTGCATCACGGGGTAAAATAAAAGTAAAAGAGGGAATTTGGATAACGTCACCGTTCATAAGTGGCACGTTAGAAGCCAACGAACGTGTGCTCCGACTGTTGGGAATCGGGATAGCTTACAAATCAGTAACAACTGTGAGATCGTTTCTCTAGAACGCATGGATCGAGTTGAAAGACAATCTGCACAATCCCGTACCTGGGCTTCATAGGTGAGACGGGCATACAACTACGCACTCATCTACACGAATAGAACCTTATCCTCCAGTGCGCTACCCAGAGGTCACGAATTTGGAACCACTGCACACGAACAGATCACAAGGTCGCAATCGATAACGCAAAGGTGGTGCGAGCTAAGAAGGAAGGGGAACGATTAATTCTCTGAGTTCTACACCCGATCAATTCAACCGAAAAGTTGAAGTAGGCAAACATTACGTCGCACTCGCAAAACCAGTGACGAGTGGTGGACTTGTAGACGCACAAATACCACACAGGAGTAAAGAAAGAAGTTAATCCCACTATCCCATTGATTTCATTTACATTTGACAACGAGTCCTAATTTGAATCGATAATGTATGATAAATATTATTTTACAATTCATTGTTCGCCATTCTATTTTGATTTATATATAGTATATATATAATGTTTATTATAACTTATCAGGACTCCTTGTCAAACGTAAGTGAAGAGAATCGAACGGTCTTTAATTGTCTGCAACTCCTTTTAGTGAACAATTTATCAGTCTCACGATTAATAGAAGCACCAGAAACAATACAAGTCATACCGTTCTGTGAATGGTTGTAAACAACTTGAGGTCGCTCGTCATTTTAGTCGCCCTATACCTACAGATCCAACTTTGTGCAGACATTCATCATACTTTTTCGTTTATGATTCACCCTGATATGTACGGTTGCTTCCTTAACATTTGATTCCGCATGATGGATTGTGGTCACTGCAGTGACCGTTCAGACCACCTTTATGAACTCATGCACCTTTTGACAAACCACTTGACTGCGACGAACACGATATATCTTCGTTGAAATATTACAAAGCCCATACGCCCCAAAGCTGTCACTACTCTTTTTTTGTTCGTATCCGGTATTTCACGACTCCTTTGAGGTCTATAGATAGCCTAATGAACTTTGTTGACATGTGAAGAATAGAAAAACTGTGCTGTACCCGCAATTATGGCCTGTAGCCCCTCTCTCATTAAATTCAGTTGATTATTATTCACTCTGTTGGCCGAATTTTTACGCGGCACCTTTTCCACTTAACCGTGAGCTCTCGTTAGATCTACTTCAAATAGCTTTGCGACATATTGTGCATTACGTGCTCCGATAGCACTCATTCGTGCATGTATCGCCCAGAAACAGCCACACATATGTACTGAGTCACTTGGATTGGCCAGTTGGTCTCTTTAAATACGTTTCTCTCTTTTATGTTTCTCGGTCATTGATCTGACGGTACGTTGCTCGTGGCTTAAGTCGATTTAATTTCACTTCATACCGCAGTTTTCTCTGTTAGATTGGTCATAACTTGAGTACGATTAGATAACTCTCTTTACTTGGATTTCGGGGCTGGCACTCACCGGACCGCGATTCCGTACCCTACCACTCACACATTAGAAAACGCGAACGATGATAAAACGAAATGGTCTTCTATCGACAATCAGACCCAACCATCTACTCGGTGTGCTTGTCACATGCAGTTTGAAGCGGCAATTTCGGTACACTGTTTTTGTCAAACTGACGTGTCAAACCCGTATTTTCTCAAAATAAATCTATAGATCTGCATCAAAATCGATCAAGATGCAGTCTGTTGGCAAAGTTCCTGTCATGGTCTACGGCAAATCGTCAGACGATTGACCACTTTTGGATTGATCGAAAAAGACTAATCTCCGCCGATTTAGAATTCGGTCTACTGATCATAATTGCATAAAATTCTTCAGAAATTATTTTAACAATGAAGAACATACTGTTTACAAATGCCTCCATCCTCCTACTTTACTTGATATGACTTGATGTGATACCTCTAATGTCCAACAAATTACTATGTTGAGCTTTTTGTATTTAGATGTAGGGTTTTACAACGATCAGAAAAACCGAATTAATGAAAATGCGACTCATTAACCCCTTGTGGCATGCCAAAATCTGCGACAAGATACCAGATCGAAATCCCCATATCTNAGTTCCATTGATTTATGGTATGTGACCTATTGATTCGTGAAGTCAGTTCACTCGAGGAAAGGAGAGAGAGAGAGGGAGGTGAAACGAGCGAGCGAGAGGGACTTTGTTTCGGTCGCTCTCCTTGTTCATACCATTTCCAAGTGCACCGGGCGAGTTTCGGATTCCAAACATCACATTATCCCTCTCTGCAAAATGAAATTGAGCCACAAGAAAATGTTCATTCCAATTGGCAGCTGTATTTTAATCAAAAATGTTTGTCCACGGTATTCGCATGAACGCTTCCGGTATGCATTACCTGTGTCCAATTGTGGCCGTTTCCCGAAACATTTCAACCAAAGTTAAATTGACTGGCATCTGAAAAAAAACCGATTCAACATATGTGTCCCGTGTATCTCCTTCCGCGATTCGGTGGGTGGATGAATGAGGCACACATGTATAGAGAGAGAGACTGAACACACATAGTTCAACCATTAAAAATTATGAAAAATGAGTATGGGAATTGCGTGCCAAGAACACACGCTTCCAAACATCCACATCCAAGACCAACCACTAAATCGTGGTCGGCATTTCAGGACTGTGGGATGCCTGTGTAGGTGTATTCGCATACCTCTACATTCTATACAGTGAGAGTGACAGAGGGAAAGAGAGAAATTCAAGTGAGCTGATCTTTATCTTCTGTCACGGAAGCTGACTGTATAAATATGTCGTATTTCATCGCTCATCGCAGTCCATCATTGCAAGTACCAAAATCGAGTGAACACATATGCGTTCGGTTTCCATTATTCTTGGTTTTATTTTCGTTGTCTACGTGCATATTTACGGAACCAACATGGGTACGATGGCCACAATACAACAGCAACTACGGAAACATGCCCTGACCGCCAAGGAACTCAAGCGCCTAGTTGGTACACCATGGTGGCCACTGCAGCGACCGGCACGTGTCGGACAATTCACGGGTTCGAAGCCAACCGAGACACCGTCTTTTGCGTTTGCCAACGATATGCGGTTGGCCATGAGACACAGACGTACTCGACTGCGCCAATTTGCATCAGGATAGTAATACAACCACAACAACAAAAAAATACCGAATGGCTTATATGTGACTGATCTCAAATACATACGTGAAGTACTTCGGTGGCACTACAGTGTCCTGTTGCATCTGACAGACACAAGCACACGTCCGAGTGTCACATCATCACCAATATTACAGGATTAACCGTCCAATCCTCTGCATAGCTCAAACGAGTGAAAACCGTCCTCATTGTTTGTCTTGTCATGCGTTTGTCTTGGACCGCTGAAACCATTGTAGTAAGTGCTTAGCTCAAAGTGACTCACATATACCAGTCTGCATGGAAATCGTCATTCAATATCAATCAATATCTTCTGGTTGCATTCGTTCTAGTTTTGCTTATCACAGACTTGGTGGATAAACGCTCAAAGAGACGTATAGTCGTTTCAAGGCAGAAATCCGAAAAGCTATAATAGCCCAATGGTGATTGTGCACAAAAACATTTTCAGAAATATTTAGAACTGTATCTGTGAAGCACTTTTTCATTGAATAAGAAACAAAAGGTGTTTTATAATCATGTCAAGATAACAAAACAATATGATACAAATTACGGATAAGGGTTTAGGACAGAGAGAGGCAAAGTTGGACTGCAGGTTGAAACAGAAGTGAGAGCAATTTGCAGGCTATTATTCCTGTACGGTAGACCTGTCAAGTACCGGGGGATGGGGGGTCGGTTAAGAGAGTCGAAGTTATCGGGCAAATTGTTTTTAGCGGGTTCGCACAAACACATGGCTTGGGATGGTTTAGGTGAAGGATACTAAGGGTCTACACTATAGCTAGAATGTGAAATTTCGTGTGGTTCAACCTCTCCATTTTGACTGTGGACAGAGGTAGCACGGGTTCGGTGAAACAGTTCAAACATTCTCCTATTCACTCAGATTAAAAAGAAAAAAGTATTAGTATCTCTCCAGACAGTATCAAAAAGGTTTTTCTCACGTCCATCAGAACAGTTTCGCCGATACATCTTAGTTTACTTGGATCCATGAATGTTTACTCAGCATCAAACACGCTTATTTTCTACAGCAAGTTACCATTAGGCTTATAAAAGAAATACTCCATTCGGTGCTTATGTTCGTTTCACATAATCATTCCAACT